CTCCAGATGACAGCAAAGTAGATTAGCTTTCTTTGTAGGAAACTACTGGCAGGCCATGGGGTTGTGCCCTGTTGCCCATAGCTCTTATTGTTATATTTGATATTCTTTTTTATTTTATAATTAATTTAATTTTATATATCAGCCATGGATTCCCCTGTCCTCCCTCCTCCCAACTCCCAGTCTTCCCCCCACAACCCTCCCCCCATTCCTGACTCCTCCAAGGCAAGGTCTTATATAATCTCTAATAAACCCTAAATTTACTCCTTAAAGGAAAATTTTTCACACCTTGGAAATTTGCACAATGTTCACCATGCTTAATCCTGTATTAAGGAGAACCTTGTATATTAAAGAATCCTTGTATCCCTGGTTACTCATAGAACCTGATGACTAGACAGTAAGATAAAGTGCGCCTGAAGTTACATCTTAGACACTGGTGCAAGGAGTTACTTTCAAAGCTCGCTGCTGTGTCTCTAATGTGTCTGAAGAATTAATGTAGCATATTAAGTTCCATAATGTATAGCTTTACAAACTCACTTTCAAAGTTATGATTAAAATACCTGCTTTTTATCCTTCTAAAACTTGTTTGACAAGTTTCAAAATGGAATAACATATTAAAAGACACTTTTAAATGAAATTTGTTAAGTTTTATCTTCTTTTTCTTATACATATACAGCAAGGTGATTCTGTATATTAGTAAGTGTTGCATTAATAAAGAACAAAAAAAGGGGGGTATTTCTAGGAAGTATATGCCATGGCACTGAGATTGTGAATTGTTCCCTGCAGAGAATGACAAGATGTGGGGGCTAGAGGTCTGCTCCTGACAGAGTGGTCCCCATTCATCATATCATTGTTTAAGGCCCGTCTCATTTGGTATTTCAATTACAGAAATTGAACATACTCATACTGGGGTGTAACCCTTCAGAGAATGTGAAGATCGGTTTGGAAGAAACTTTTCAGAAGGATTAAGTAGGATATTCCATGACCAGGTGTTCTTGGGAAGACCTCCCGTACACTGCTGTAGAGAGATAGGAATGTGACTCCAAATATAATCTATCAATCTTGCCCATGGTACTGTCTGCTGCCATAGTATTTATTTCTAGGAAGATTTTTTGAATAGAAAAAGGAGACTTGAGAACCTTGAATTCATTATATGCTAATTGGTTCTTTTATGAAGTTGAGTTCATTTAATAATGAAAGCACGTTGGTATCTGTTCAGCCATGCTTGTAGTAAGCATCAGAAGTATGACTGACTACATTAGGGATAATGTGATGTGGTCACGTTCACAAGCATTGTGAGAACTTTGAGGAGGCTTGCTGCAGACTTTCCTTTTTTGTATTCCTTTATCAGAAATGCAGACTTTGAGATCAAAGGGATTAAATAATATAGGTAACAGTACTTGGAGCGACGTTAGCAAGCAGTAAGTCTTTATTCCTTTTCATCTGTACGGTTCCACTGGCATTTTACTCATTTTAATAACCAAGTTGATCTGATTCTTTCTCTTGGCCTGTGTGGGTCACTCTGGTGGTCCTTTCCCCCTTAACATCCTTTATTGTTTTGTAGAAGGTCCTGTGAGAGCTAAATTGTGGTATAGTTTTACAACATCTGAGAGACCTGGCATTCCCAGAAATTTAAATGAGAAAGTTAGGTCCTTGCCTGATTGTGCATAAGGAGAACTCCCCCATGACTGAGTATGGTTACTGTCAGTTAATGTCAGTGACCGTGGTTAATACCCCCGAGTATTGCTGAGGAGTGGCACATAGGGTGTTCTACTTAGCTCACCCAGGGGCAGAGTTCTTAGTGCTTCCACCCTGCCTACCAGCTCCTAGACTGTCAGCCACTGGAAGATGGTATTTGTAAAACATCTACTCTTCTCCCTGCCCTTTTTTCTTTTCCTCCTCCTCCTTTCTCTTCCTGCTTTCCTCTTCTTTACCTTCCCTTTCCTCCCTCCATCCCTTCTCCTTCTTTCCTTCCTTCCTTTCATTTGTTTTTTTGACAGGATCTCATTATATAGCTCAGGCTGGCCTGGAACTTGCCATCCTCCTGTCTCAGTCTTGAGTGCAGGGATTCCAGATGTGCAGTAAACACCTCAGCTTTGGTGAAGTTTGATATTGTCATCTTGACACACTTACATCTATGACACTTTGTTGGAAATTTTACAGTTTTGTACATTATCTTCTTTTTTTATTCTGAATTTGTTATGCTTGTGGCCATGGCCTCAAGTTTTCTCCCCAGAGTAGCGGCAGTTTATCACACCATTATTTCAGTTTCTGTGGCCAGGGAATACATAGCCTAATCTCCTATCACATATTCAGAGTGGTGAATTTCCTGAGTTGTTTTCTTCTCACAGGTAATCTTCATATAACAGCAGCGTCAGCTCTGTTACTTTTTTATTGCTAGATTGTCCTTCCTTGGACCTGCAGGATACTGAGTGTGAACTGTAGTGTGAAGGTCTCCTAAGGGGCAGGGATCTGTTCGTGTAACTGTCGATCTTTCTTTGCATGATGGTTCCTGGCAGTGTACATTTGCTGTCTTGATTTTATGTTTTTTTGGGGTCATGTTAGCCCCCAGATTTTAGAGCCTTTGTGCATTTGAAGCTGAGTGTGTGATCTCTTCCTTCCCTAATACTGGTTTTAATCTTCTTCAGCATGATATCCTAGTTGAATAGCTTCTGGATTAACACAAGGATTATATATTTTCACTAGTTACTGAGGGTATTAGAAGAGGAACCCTTTGGTCCTGCTTAATCTGCCCACTTCTGTTCTTAGCTGTTTGAGAATCCTATTCCAGGACTTACTATCTGTGATCTTTTTTATCTGTCCCTATCCAGATGTCTCTAAATCCATTTGGTAATACCATTAGAATTGCCAACTGTGTATCCAGTTTATGATGAGGCATAAGGGATACAGTCTGTGGGAGCTGGGGTACATTCTGTACTGCGGGTGATATGTTCAGAAACTACACTGGGAATATAGAGTGGGAGTGCTTTATCCAGAGCAGAGGGGCTGGGAAGGTGATGGGAAGATAGTCAGGGAAGGCAGCAAGGACCAGGGTTCAGAGTGGAAAACCAGCACGCCTGTGAGTATGATGTTGCAAGATCTCTTAGAGCTGGGGAATAGAAAATCGTAATGACTGAGCACCTGGCTGAAAGCAGAGTTCAGATCAATAGGTTCAGAGGCCATAATCTTGGATGTTCATATGCTGTCCTATCAGTTTGAGGAAGCAGCTTCTATATCAGCATTCCTACATGTGTTGATCCTTGTCCATAGTTGCCATAGTAGATTAGCAATCGAGCAGTCTTGGCTTGTGCACTGGCTCTTCCACTTAATTGATGAGAAATCTTGAGAAACTACACTGTTTCCTCATCACTGTGATGGGGATAATGATAGGGTGTACTTTGTGTTATTCCTGTCAAGTTGGAAGCATGGCCATAGTTAAACAGCCAAATCCTCAGTCCTATAGTTACTAAGCAATGCCTAGCATCTTGGGCAATGCCAAATTTTTCTTAACAAAATGTTTATTTTTAAAATTTAGTATATGCTGTCTACATACATGTATCTCTTAAAGATATTTAAACTCATTGCATTTTAATTCACCTACTTGGCTTCCTTCTAAACTAAAGAACTAAGGAATTTCATAGAAATCATAAGCCTTAATTAAGTCCTAGGATAAGGAGGGATTAGAAGTGAAGAGTGATGCTAGTGATCATCAACTCTTTCCATCTTCGACATCAGAAGAGGTGAGAGGAGGCAACCTCTGGAAAGATGCTTGTTTTCTTGAGTCTTTACGCCAGAAGTCTCATGTGTTCTATCTCAGAATAGATGTCCACATCTATCTACTTGCACTCTGGAAATAGTAAGCCAAGGCCTTCTCTTGCCCATGCATAGTTATCACTGATAAAGATTTTTTGAGGTGAACTAATTGTACTGTCATTTCAACATGTTATGTCAGTAGACAAGTGTGCTTGGATCTCATAGCCCTGGTTAGTGGGAGCATTCCAGAAATGCTAGCTTCCAATGCCCTCAAGGAGTTGCTAATCATTTCCACTTGAATATTTCAGAGTGATTCAAGCTTTGGTCTTTTAACTCATGTTAGATTTCCTTGGCACAGCCTTTTGATACTACCTGGATTTATGAGCAGGATGTACTTGGTGCATAAATGTAAAAGCATGTTTGTTTGAGTTTTGTTTTGGGAGATTCACTGTTTAAATACTAGGTCAGTGAGAGTGACTTTGGCTAGCAAATTATTTAAAACTAACTTTTCACAAGTGGGCCTTTGGGATACCAAGTGAATCATACTTTTGTTATCAAAATAGAAGCATTCGTTTGATACGAAACTCCAAAGCAAAGGCCACTAGTAATTTTATAAATTATTTGTCACATCCAAACTATTGCTCTTGAAGCCTTGCTGCCTGTGCTAGGCTAGGTTAGCTCTACAATTAGTGAAGGTACACATCTATCTTCAGACAATAGCTAATCTCTACAGCCATATGTATAAAGGCATCCTGATCGCAATTTGCTATTAATTGGACCACGTGACTTTTGTTTTCATTGTCTTAAATCATGTTATCTTTTCATTCCTTAAACATGTTAGTGGGTGGATCCATGGATGTCGATTTTTATAGACTCAAATAGGAATAAATGTTTATCTTTTATAGTGTTATAGATTGCTTTGCTCTCTTAGACATCATTTTAGTCTAGAGAGATCGATACTATAAAACTGTAACCACCCTATCTTTCATATTCTCTGTCATTTATAGAAAGTAGATTATAGAGCTCTGTGGCTGAGGACATGTCTTGATTGACACCATGAAGTTTTAGAAATTCTACAACTTCTTAAAGAACTAGTGGTTGATATGCTAACGTTGCACATTTTGCTTAATCATTGGTAGGAAATTTAGAGGTGTTGCCCATTCTCACTGATGTATTTGGCAGACTGTGTATATGAACTGGCATTTATCTGAATTTGGATTATAACTCTCCTCCCCCTCCTGTCTTTCCAGTTATTTTTATTTCAGTTGCTGCGAGGGCTGTCTTACATCCACCAGCGGTATATTCTGCACAGAGACCTGAAACCACAGAACCTCCTCATCAGTGACACGGGGGAGTTAAAGCTGGCAGATTTCGGTAGGAAAGCAGTTAATTACTGGTTTATTTGTCACACTGTGAGAACGCCAGGCAGATGGCGGCTCTGCCTTTGTTAGGTGCAGTTCTTCTGTCATCGTGGATCATGGTAATTTTTTTTTTCCGGAACAAAGAAATTATTTCCATCCTTTGAAAAATGATGAAGTAAAACATAATGATTGGTGGATTTTTATGAAGTAGAAGGCTGTTTACTGGTCTTCCTTACATGATCACAAGATCTTCACACATGACATCAAACAATATCTCAGTAAAATTTGAACATAGAATATACTCAAGGAAATCTTTTTTTTATTTTCTTAGTTTTTATTATGAAAATAATCTAAAGCAAAATGACAGTATAGCCCACCACACAACTCCAAGAAGTCTAAACATTTTATTAAACTTGAAGAGCTGTGAAGTGAAATCTTGGTACCACTTTTAGGCATCGTGGGCTGGACAGTGTTCAAAAGTGTACGTTACTCTAAGGATATAATAATGTAGGAAAAGTAGTGTAACCTTACCAGAAGTGACTATTATTTTTGGTATTCCTCATAGCTGTAAATGAGAATGCTTTTTAAATTCTAGCTCCTAGAGCAGGCCTTTTAAAAGATGTTCTTAGAAATTTGAAACTTGGCCTTTCACATATTTGCGATTCCAAAGGAGGCAAAACTGGCGTCTCTCCCTCCTGACAGTGTGCTGTGGCTCCGTGGGTTCCCAGCAGTGGGGAATGACACTTGATGGCAGTGTGACGTGTTGACACTTCACTGCCTCAATTATTTTTGAATACATATTCAGATTAGAAATTTGTTCCATTAAGAATGGAATGAAAATATTACCCTTGGGATGTAAACATGCCTGAGGTTGAAGCAGCCTTTTGAGGAAACTAATTATTTTCCCCATTCCAACCCCTAATAAATAAAAGAGAGAAGGGAGTGGGTGTTTATTTCAAGGTCAGGTAGCTGAGTATCACTGGACACATTTACTTTGCTAGCTTTTATGTGTTCCTTTCTTCCAAGGAGGAAATGAAGCAAAAGTTAGCATGTTTAGTGATGAATGTTATAAAACACATTTCCTGATAAGTTACTTTAATATAAATAGTGAAACTTTGCATGATTTCATGCATGTTGTTTATGGCCAGATTTGGCAACAAGATCATATGAGGTAGCTAGATATAAATAAGAAAATGCAGATATATAGACATAAATACAGAAAATAAGTAATGGAGGGGGGAATGGTAGAGAAGAATTGTGTAGTTCTTCAAAGTCAAGGTAATAGCTTTGCGGCAGACATTTTGTAGTTTGTCACTGTCAATAACTTTAAAAGAATTTACATTTTAACGGTGATTTTTTTAAAATCATAGTTTGCTAGTGTAAGATAATCTGTTGAAATACATTATTGTGTTGAACATTTAACCGAACTGAGCTTGTTCCTTAAATTTTGTGTTGAGTATGTCAATAATTACCTGTTTGCACAATTAAAGATACCATAGAATTGTATGATGTACTTTATAATTAGTCTTACATTTTAAGATGTTATTATTATTATAGCAAGGTGAGCTCGTCTTAAAAGACTCTTAAGACTTTCAGTTGTCCAATATCAAACGGTTAGCCCTGAAACTATACATATAGCTAACATTATATGGACTCACAGGCTATATTTAGGAATATATATTTACAAACAGAACACTAGCGTTTATATCAGATTCAGTAATAAATTGGATAGAAGTCTTAAAACCTGAAGTGATATTTTTTAAATTTAGAAAATTTAGGAAAATGAGTAACTCAAATTATATTTTAACCTTTTAATGTATTTTCTCTGTGTCTGTTTTGTACATCTTGTTTCGCTTTCCTTTTACATATCCTCAAAAAAGATACATACTGTTTTATAAGTCTTTGTCTAAAAAGAATGTGTCTTTAATGTTTATTCATGTTAAGAAGTATGACAAAATCATTTGTATCAGCTGGGATTTTTCTATTATTGGCTAAAATACCATTTCTGTTCAAGCCTTTGTCAAGGATGTTTTTATTTTCCTAATTATCTACAATTATGCACATTCCTGAATGTATGTATCTCTCTCTTTGTAGTGAAAGAAAGATGTATGAGAGGTGCGGTGGTGTTTGAAAGTGATCATTTCTTTGGTCCAGGCTGATCTGCAGAGGATGGCCCCGTGTGCTCTCACTGTCCCAGTCAGTTGTCTAGCTAGGAATGTGCAGTTGGCATACGTCCTATGCATAGAGTGTAATGAGTGAAGCTCATTCACCAATTGACAATTTCCCCCCAATTAATTGTGCATTATTTTGTATTTTAATTTAAGACATGCAGTTAACTGTGATTTACTGTGTTTGGGCAGGAGTGTGTGAGAGATGAAGGAAAGGCATGGGAAGGTACAGTGAAGCTGAATAGTCAGAACGGGACAGTTCCAGGCAGCAGGACAGTTACACACTGGTCTGCTTTCAGAGTCTGACACTTGAAGAGCTTTGGAAACCATTTCTTTGTCTTACCTTTCTCTCTTATGTGAACAAATGCCATAAACGTCTGAATAAAAGAGGCAAATGTGTTCTAAATGACTCTATTCCCTATACTATAAATGCTGCTTCCTTACTAGAAAAAAATATCAGCGGATAAAAGCACTAGCATTTATCAGGTTTATTCTGTGTTCTGTATATGCATAAGTCATTTCTTGTTTCCTTACATAAATAAGCTTATAAGCAAGTAACCCAAGTTTTTGAGAGAAGTGTGAAATTTGGAATGAAGTAGACCTTAGGAGCCTGGGCCGTACAGGTGTCTGGTCACAAAGCTGGGATATCAGGTGCCTCTTTCTTTATTTTTATAGACACAGACATTTCCCTTTGGGTAAATTGCTGCGTAATTCTTTAAAAAATTCTTTAGTAAAGTCTTGATCATTATGTGAATGCTGTATATGGATGTGTGTAGATATATTCTACATACAATAAATATACCATTCCTATGTATATAGATCACACTAATAAAATACATTTCAGAATTTACAGAACATTTTTTTCATTTAACTAATTTAACAGTAATTGTTGAATTGGATTTTAATACTAGGGTGATTTTTAGCCTTGGGATAGACAAACCAGGTGTTGCTGTATTTATAGATCCTTCACCTGGGAGCAGAACATAGTTGAACTGTCTTCAGTAAGCCAAGTCCTGCTTACTCTCACCTGAGCATTATTTTCTACATGTTTTTAGAATGAATATATTGTAGTGGTTTAACCTCGACCTTCCTGTTGCAGAGGTTTACTCGGTTTTTATGTGGTCAAATTGAGGGCGACATTTGGACTCATTTCTATTTGTCTTCGCATTATCTATAGGGAAAATATTAATGCAGCCTATGTCCTTACCACCTTGGTGCTGCTGGTATACTGTGGAGCAACAAAATCCCCAACCTGTCCGCTCACCACAGATGCTCATCTTCCTGCTCCCCGTGTAGCTGTCCTTTTCTTTCTCTCTTTCTTTCTTTCTTTCTTTCTTTCTTTCTTTCTTTCTTTCTTTCTTTCTTTCTTTCTTTCTTTCTTTCTTCCTTCCTTCCTTCCTTCCTTCCTTCCTTCCTTCCTTCCTTCCTTCCTTCCTTCCTTCCTTCCTTCCTTCCTTTCTTTCTTTCTTTCTTTCTTTCTTTCTTTCTTTCTTTCTTTCTTTCTTCCTTTTTTTATAGAAGGATAGTTCATGTTACCCTGCCCAGAATAGGACCGTTCTCAGTACTGTCACTAATTTAGCAACTTCAGTCACATTTCTAATGCATTGAAGGTCACTTTTTTTTTTTATTTTTTGCTTCAGCTACTTCTCTTGCTCACTATTATCTGTACTATGTGCACAACCCTACAGTAGAGACTAAACACAAAATATTAATAACAAATTTTGGCTGACTGGATAAAAATGCATGAGTTATCATCTGAAGAATAAGACTCACTTGAATTTACTAATTTCTGTTTCTTCTTTGGAAAACTAGCTATTTATAAAACAACTGTCTGTTTATCAGAGTTGTCCCAGCTCTTGATAGTCAAGAGTACAGGTGGAATTGCTGGGTGAGGTAGTGTGGAGTCTTAGGTTCTTTTGAGTCTCTCACACATGGGCTTCACACAGTGCTTGGTATTACAAGGTCTAACAAGTTGAACTGTTATCAATTGCAGAGTGTATCAGACATTGAATTAAGAAATCATTACTGAATTTAACTTGTGGTTGTTGAAGAAGTCATTCATGTTTTTTGAGCCTTATGCTTGGTGTGTGAAATGAAAGACCACTGGACAAATATATTCCAAAGTCCTATTAGTGTTGATGGATTGTGTTGTACATTTTTTAACGTATTTAACCTGTTTTCTAATGACTAGGGACTTGCTGGAAATTAAAAATCTGTTCACTAAATCTGAGTCAGTGCTCTGACATTCCTCCCAGGAATCTAAATATCTAAATATCAGTTTTTTTCCCTCCTCCTCCTCATCTTCTTTCTCCTCCTCTTCTTCTTCTTCCTCCTCCTCCTTCACCTCCTCTTCCTCCTCCTCTTCCTCCTATTCATTCTCCTCCTCCTCTTCTTCCTCCTCCTCCTCTTCTTCCTCCTCCTCCTCTTCTTCCTCCTCCTCCTCCACCTCCTCTTCCTCCTCCTCTTCCTTCTCCTCCACTCCTCTTCCTTCTCCTCTCCCTCCTCCACCTCCTCCTCCTCTTCCTCCACTCCTCTTCCTTCTCCTCTTCCTCCTCCTCCTCTTCCTCCTCCTCCTCCTCCTCTTCCTCCTATTCATTCTCCTCCTCCTCCTCTTCCTCCTCCTCTTCCTTCTCCTCCACTCCTCTTCCTTCTCCTCTCCCTCCACCTCCTCCTCCTCTTCCCCTTCCACTCCTCCTCCTCCTCCTCCTTTTGTGATTAAGATAATCCCATCATTTCCCCCCTTCCCTTCTTCCTGCTCCTAACTCATCTCATATGTGCCTTCCACACCCTCACTCTCATTCAGATGCATGGCCTCATTTTCTTTAATTATTGTTGCATACATATG